TTTTTTTTCTCGCTCCCTTTTCTGATCTTTCTGTCTCACCTGCAAATAAAAAGAATGACCAATACAAATGACCAATACAGATAATATTCTCTATATGGTGTCGGATTATTGGCAAAAAAGCTTAATTCTAATTATTTTACAGCGATCAATCATTATGTTATAACCTTCTTTGTCACATGTCCGGCTGCGGCGAAGTGCGCAAATAATCTTACACAAATATACAAGAAACCTGGAGCCCCTAAAGAAGCATGCCACTGACATAGCAAATAGTGTATATGTTTCAGGATATGAGTCGGCCGGTTTTGAATGAAATAAACGGTGTCAGTTTTTGTGATATTGCGACCAGGATGTACAACTGAAGAGTTTTACCTAATTTACAAAGAATGCTTATATTAGAATCTGTCAAAAAGGCACACAAGAAAACAATGAAGTTGAACACTACTAAACAGTATTGTAATTAACACCTTTTCGTGTGTCTTACAGCCTTCCTCGGCATTAAAACATTTACGAGCTCAGTCTCAGGCCTACGCGACCAGACCACAATGGATTGTAAATAGAAGTCTCTCAACAATGATCACAACCGAGTGTTAACATCTTTGACAAAATAGCGACTCTTATACTCGTTATACTTGCGCAAAATGTGAAGGGTAAGGCTACGGCCATTGTTACTGCGATAAAGGTGCTGTCACCCATACGCCAATTCGGTATAGTTGAGTAGGGGTCGACCGCTGGTCAGTGTTAACGTACAATATAAATTTTAGAAATAAGCGAAACCGCGTAAATTTTGACATTCAAGGCACTGAAATGTCGTAAAAAAACTATATGCCATCATGACCTTTCAGACTAGGGTAGCGAACGCCATAATTTTGAAAAAAATAGTTTGTGACGTAATCACTTGTCATGAGCACTCCATCTCATGCAATCACCTCTGAAAAATAGTGTACAGGGAGATTTGCTCCAAAATTAAAAAATCAAGTGTTTAATTAAGTGTTCGTTCAGAACGTCAGTCATTGGTTTTCAGTAAATATCATCTCAACTTCTGATTGGCTGTCAGTGACAAGTAATGTTATCTTATTTAACCAATAGCATGCTTGGTGTATTGACTCTACGTTTAGTTTTTAGTATATTTTGAAGCTATGTGTACATGTGATATTGGACAATAGAGGACTACAAGGGCCTGAACAGACAGTCTTATCTTGGCTTGAGCATCTACAACATCAGGTACGATGTCTAAATCAGATAGACTACGAGAATATTAGCTTAAAACCAGGGATAGTTTAGGGTATAAAGGGCTTTCAATGGTAGAAATATAGTTTTCAAATAGAATGAAATAGAAACACAAATACAGCTGAGGAAATTTAGCTGAAAAAGGAAAGAAAAAACTTACCATTTAATGATTAAGATTTGTGAGGCTATTTTAGTTCTGCCAGTTGCCCAGTAGTAATCTGCACCTGACGTAAAAATTTAATCATTAAAAAATAGTATTTTGCAGCAGAATCACTAACTAGAGAACCACAGGGTTTAAAACTATTTTATTCTATTTCACATATGAATACTTTTACTCGTTGTACAAAAAAAATTTGTTTTGCTCTTGTTTTGCCGATCATGATGCAACATTACAGAACAGATAGCAAAACCAGGCAATCCATGTCCGATTTTTTTTTTGTTTCACAAAAAACTACTTTAATCAAGTATATTTGATGAGTTTTTCTAAGGAACTTAGTCGATTCTTGATTAAATACATTGTATCACTGGACAAGTGAACACAGCTGGTTAAACCAAACCTACTTGTGCTGAAACCTGTGCCTTTTCTTTTCTTGAGTCTGACTTAGTTTGTCGTCCATTTGAGATTCTAATAAATAAGGACCCGGAAAATTAAAAATAAAATTGATGAGGGCGGTGCAATTAAGAGGGTTTCCAATAAGTCGCGGTAGTCGCTGGGGCGGATGCGCATGCAGCCAATGTTAAGATAGATTGACATAATACCAAGATATTAAACAATGACAAACATGCAGACACGAAACAAGTTTACAAAGACACAGAAAACGAGAAACTAAAAAATGAAAGCTGCCGGTTAATAACTACAATAACAGATGCACACAAAACTCGAGATAGGTCGAGGTAGACATAACTGAAAACAGAAACTTGCAAACACAGGCACTGAAGCTAGACTCAATTAAGATAGAATAAGGAGATTTCTCAAACAACAGACCACAAACAAGTAACTCGTAACCTCTTTCTTTCAGAGCCATGTCGATGTCAGAAGCCACTCAAAATGGACTAACAGTGGGGTTTATCGTCATGATATTCACTGATTTGATTGGAAATACGTTAGTTATTCTCACTGTATTCAAGACTCCGGCAATGAGAACACCTATGAATTACTTGCTGGTAAATCTGGCCGTTGCTGACATCACTGTGGCAATATTCATTGCACCAAGGTATTGCTATCTTTTAGAAACAACTTATATCTATGTTTGACAGCTTTTGTTTCATTTTTGCTACTTAATGCCATGTTCAGAATGTACTTTCCAAATCTGGTCACTAAATGTCCATATATGGAAACTAATTTCCGTATTTGGAAACCTGTTTGCCATATATAATTATTAATTTCCAAATTTGGTAATTCATGTCCATATTTGGTATCTAATGCCCATATTTGTCAATCAGGTACATCTTAAGCCGTTTGTACACCCATCCAACAGGAGTTACTGGAACATACGTATGTAAATTGCTGACAGGTGAGGTGTTCACCTGGGTGGGTGCCCTGTGTTCAGTCTACACCCTCGTTGCCATCTCCATCGAGCGATACTACGCCGTCATGAAACCACACAGTAGTAAAGCACGGTT